CTCCATATGGGCCAATGACTTAACTCTCAGGCCCATAAAAATTGTTTTTTTTTTTTTTTAACATCAAAAACTAATCTATTGTTTTCCATTATTTTGAAGTGAGACTCACAAAAATGTCCCTTTTTCAATACCCCTTTTCAAAAATGCTCCCTTTAGATGTCCATTTTTAAAAATACCCCTTTTATGTACAAAATGACTAAATTACCCTTCTTTTAATAAAAGATATCATAAATATTTAAGGAAATATAACAAAATTAGGTCCACAAAATACAAAATATTTTTTGGCGGGAAAAGTGATCCCCCAATTTTTCCCGCCAAAACACTTGTAAAAATTTGTAAAACCTTTAAAATACCTTGTAAAATTTTCCCGTAAAATTTTTTCCCGCCAAAAAATTTTTTTTGCGGGAAAAGTGATTCCGCAAATTTTTTGGCGTTAAATTTTTGGCGGGAAAATTTTACAAGGTATTTTAAAGGGTTTTTACAGGGTATTTATAAGGTTTTACAATGTATTTTAAAAGGTTTTACAACGTATTTATAAAGTATTTATAAGATATTATAAGATTTTACAAGCTATTTTATAAGGTTTTACAAGTTATAAGGTTTTACAAGTTTTTTATAAGGTTTTACAAGTTATAAATACCTTATAAAACCTTATAAGTACCTTGTAAAACCTTTTAAAATACATTGTAAAACCTTACAAAACACTTGTAAATACTCCGTAAAACCTTTAAAATACCTTGTAAATTTTTCCCGCCAAAAATTTTCCCGCCAAAAAAATTTCGGCAAAAAAATTGCGGAATCACTTTTCCCGCAAAAAAAATTTTTTGGCGGGAAAATTTTTTGGCGGGAAAAATTTTTACGGGAAAATTTTACAAGATATTTTAAAGGTTTTTACAAGTGTTTTGGCGGGAAAATTGCGGGATCACTTTTCCCGCCAAAAAATATTTTGTATTTTGTGGACCTAATTTTGTTTCAAATAAGGGTAAAATGGTCATTAAAAATTAAAAGAGGGCAAACTTAAAAATGGACTCTCAAAAGGGGCATTTTTGAAAAGGGGTATTGAAAAAGGGGCATTTTTAACAATTTCTCTATTTTTAATGGTGGAAACTGGAAACAAAAGGAAATAAGATTTGTCCAATTCGGTTTATGGTTGAATCTTTCTATAAAATAGAGATATTTTTTTCCTTAAAGAGTGGATGGGTTTTTAGAGTTTCAAATTTTATTTTTAGTTTGAATTTCAGTAAAAAATTTAGTAAAATTTGAATATTTTTATTTTATTATTTCTTTGTTTTGTTTTTAAACATTCATTTTGATTTTCTTAGATTTGTTTATGAAGCTTATATTTGAATTCTCTTGCAAATTTTGGAAATCTGAATTTCCTTCCCTTTTTATTTTCGTTTGGTTTATTTGGGTCAAGTTACATTTTCTTCAGATATTATTTCAAAAAAAAAAACAAAAAAATGACACAAATCACTAAACAAATCGGTTTCTCTAAGCCGGTTATCAATTTAATTTGCTTACGCTAAACCAAATTGGTCAATTTCCACGTCATTCTGCCACGTGACAATCGCATTCTGACTACACTCGATCTCAATCCTATGTGGCAAAACAGAGAATCAAGATACCTCGTGTCAGCAATTTTATTGGTTAAAACCATATCCGAGTAATCTAAAGAAACAACATGAATAAGATAAGGTCTTCTTTGTCACATAACCAAACATCAAAAATTATAACTCAACAATCTTCACTAATCAAATTATTCAAAGCAGATAAAAAAATGGCTCAAGCAGTGGCTTCGATGGCTGGTTTACGTGGCGCATCTCAGGCCGTCCTTGAAGGAAGTCTACAGATCAATGGCTCAAACCGTTTGACCATCTCAAGAGTCACGGTTGGATCTCAAAGAACCGGACTTGTGATCAGGGCTCAGCAGAACGAGTCAGTACCAGAAAGTAGTCGCAGATCAGTGATCGGGCTCGTGGCGGCTGGTTTAGCCGGTAGTTCATTCGTTAAAGCTGTTTTCGCCGAAGCTATTCCGATCAAAGTTGGTCCTCCTCCACTTCCTTCCGGTGGCCTACGTAAGTAATACTAATTGAATCAAATTTTACATTATTGACTATTAATAATATAATCCGAACGGTATTTTTTTTGGTTAAGGAGAAAACAAACCGAAATATATTGCATGTTTTGGTCTGGAAACCGTTTTTTTTTTCTTCTTCTTTTTTTTTTTTTGGGATATTGAAAGTACAATAATCTTGAGTTTATGTTTTGTATTTTTTATTTTTGTTTCTGTTTTGGTTTAGATATGCAAACCAAATAAAAGTCCGGTTCAATCGCGGTTTGGTTTGAACCGATTTGGTTTGTTAGACTCGAACACCCTTATTTAATTTGTTAAAACTTAAAATATAGATCTTTTTAAAAAACAAATTGAAAATATAGATTTAAATGTAAAATATACGTCTATTTGTTATGATTTCAATTTTGGTTTTTTTTTATCAAACGTATCTTTAATCACTTTTTAAAGATATAATTAAGTTTTAGAGATTACTAATTAGATTATAGAGATCGGTTCTGTTTGAATGATTATGGCTTTGATTTTTTTTTTTTTTTGTGTGAGCAGCTGGAACAGATAACTCAGACCAAGCAAGAGATTTTTCATTGGCATTGAAAGACAGATTTTACATACAACCATTGTCACCAACAGAAGCTGCAGCTAGAGCCAAAGAATCTGCTAAAGAGATCATTAACGTTAAGTCACTGATCGACAAAAAAGCTTGGCCTTACGTTCAGAACGATCTCCGTTTAAGAGCTTCGTACCTTCGTTACGATCTTAACACCGTTATCTCTGCTAAGCCTAAAGAAGAGAAAAAGAACCTTAAAGAACTTACCGGCAAGCTCTTCGAAACCATCGACAACGTAAGTTTTGTTTTTTGTTTTCTTTAGTTAGGGTTTTGTTTTCTAGCGGTTTCTTGGTGAGAAGTTAGAGTGTTTGGATTGATCTCATATTGTTTTTTTTATGTGAAAGTTGGACTATGCGGCGAGGTCTAAGAGCAGCCCAGATGCTGAGAAGTATTACTCAGAAACTGTCTCGAGTTTGAACAATGTTCTTGCCAAGCTTGGTTAATGAAGAAAGATTTGCTTTGTAATGTGTTGATGTTGATGCTATTATTATTATTACTATCCAAGTACTTTGTCTTTCTCCTGCTTTTCTTAATTATCTGATCAAATCGGTTATTTCTAATTTCAGTTTCTTTTTGGTAACTCATTTTCTCAACTTTTTTTTATTATTAATCATTGTATTTTTTATGCAATTAATTCCCTAAAATTAAAAATATTTATGAATAACAAAAATAAGAATTATATATATATATATATATATATATATATATATATATATATATATTCACCATAACGAACAATATATTTAAAATCGACCGTGAAGATAATAAGTATACTTGTGAGTTGTGATTAGGTCAAAGGCCGAGTACCATGCATCAACACTTTTCTAAAAAAAAAATTTCTTCTTGTTAGTCGATTCACTTTTTCTAAGTTTTCTTCCCACTCCACAAGATACTCTTAACTTTAGATTTTAAATTAAAAACAAGGATATAACAATATTTTAAGATATGACATGGAGGAGGTTAGACCATGGTCGTGTAATTGTCATGTCCTAAAAGTCAACTAAACAAGTTTTAATATGTGCTTAAGGTTAAAACGTCACATAGCTGACTGAAATTTTGCTTCTTAATTAAAGATCCTATCAAACGGAAGTCACATCCAAATTTACTTTGATCTCTATAAAGACACTTAACACACCAAAAATACACTAGATTTCTAAATATAATAAAATCCTACTTAAACTCTACAACCACAATTTGATGACATGATTTCAAAAAAAATGATGAGATGGATTTTTAAACTACGGCAAAGTCAAGAATTTATAACTAAGTCTTACTTTAACAGGAAAAACTTATAATTTAGTAGTTAGACATGTTTAGTTAACGTTTAGGGAATATTTTTCTCGAAGCCAAATTGACTTAATTAGACGGCAAAGCTGATTATTTTTAAAAAGAAAAAAAAAATTAGATATACATATAATGATATAATATGAGATTAGATAAGTTAACCAAATATTTCAATTAACTAATATTGGAGTTGTGGTTAAGGAGTCAAATCAGATGACATGAGCATATTGTATGTATATTAAAAGAAGATTTGGGAACATTTCCAAAGTAAAAATGAAGACAAACCCTAAAACCCAAGAGAATTCGATTGGGTGGTATGACTTAATCCACACAAAACGTATTTACCTATTAATTAATTGTCAACATTTGACTTATTAATTTTTTATTCATTTATTTCGAATCAACTTTCTGTCCTTTTTGCTACATTTATTAACACCAGACCAAACTGTTCTCGGCTGGTTTTTAAAACTTCTAAATTTCCTTTCTCTCATCACAGAAAAAATGTTTTGTCAAATAATGTTCCATATCGCTATTTTCTGTAGTCCAATGTGATTAATCTATGCACATTTTTAAAAATAAAATTAGAAGAAAACCATATAAATAGAGATTACCTAACCAAGTTTTAAAGACAACCTTTTACTAAAATCCAAATATAAACTCCTTTTTGCTTCATCTAATTCCTTCAAACATCAATATTTTCAAATCATTCCAAAAAAGTAGCTATTCCTGTTTTTATTAAACAAGAAAACTTGTTCAACGTGGACATTTAGTTTAGTGATTCAAGACCAAAGATATAATTCTGATTGTTTGCGAAAGAAATATTTGCATTCATGTTTACTTGTGTTACACAATATTCTTACATTTAAAATAAATTCAGTATAATATATACTTTAATTTTTTTCAAACATGTATTGCAAAAATATTAATATATACTTTCTGTATTTAGTATTTGCAAATGATTTTTAATAAACAGATTATCTTATCATATCAATTAACGTCAACACGAACACACGAATAAGTCCAATTAGATACGTTTTTTTCATAATCATCAAGAGTTAGACATATGGTTAGGGTAGCTAGATATATTATTTAACAATTATATTATTCCGTTCAAATTATAATTTTGATGGATTCATGCCTACATATAAATACAATATGTAATCAACATCATGTCTCATGCAACTTCAACATTTCCAAAGTAAACAAACCAAACTACAATTACATGACGGAAGAGTTTGAGATCGCCGGAATCTCCACGGGAGCTTGGTGGAGTTCGCCAACAAACACCGCCACAGTATTCTCTGGCTACTCGCTGCCACGTTCCACTGAGATTAGCCTTGATGTCACAAATTTCGGATGGCAAAACTTCGATAACAAGATTAACGATCCTAATGATGGTTTTATTAACATGTAAGTCCACATGAATACAACATTAATATACAAAGTAATATTGAACTTTCTTTAATCTATTTTCTTTGTTTTATACTTCTTGTAGGCATAATAGTTTCTTTGAAGGATTATTCGATCCTAACGAGCAATTACTACCGGATTCTTGGCCAAAAAGTACAGTTCCTAATGCGAAATCCGAGCTCCTTGAAAGCTTCCCATTCTTAGATAACATGTTCTTGATCGATACAGAAGCTGAATCATTCTTGGATCATGAAATCAGAAACCATAACTCTAAGGAGCAAACTACACAAGACTGTAAGAATTTTACTTCAAAGGCACGTAACAAACATAAAAACATAACTAGTTTTTTTTTTTTTGACTAAAATTTAGAGGTATATTGAACATAACAAAATATGTGATGACTCTTTCAGGGGAGCGAAAGGACTGAAGAATTAGAAGAGAACAGCGACGAATATTCACCGCGATTACTAAAAAGACAGAGACTCGAGACACTATCTCCATTGCCAAGCTTCAAGGTTCGTAAAGAGAAACTCGGAGATAGAATCACTGCGCTTCAGCAACTGGTTTCACCATTTGGCAAGGTAAATTAAAAGAACATTTTTCGAGTTTTATTGCGCAGTTTTAATCTATGTTTTTTTCTTATTTAAGCTCAAAAGATTTGTCTTCTGATCTCTTTGCAGACAGATACAGCTTCTGTTCTCAATGAAGCTGTAGAGTACATAAAGTTTCTTCAAGAACAAGTCACTGTAAGTTCAGATTCTTGATTTTCATTTGCAGTCAAAATAAAATCTATTAAATAACTTGTAGTTTGATTATTTTTATTTTGTTTTAATAATAAATAGGTATTGAGTAATCCAGACCAGAACACCATAGGATCTGTTCAACAACAGCAGGTACTTAAAATTAGTTATATGTTAACAACTCTTATCCTTGTCCTTTTGCTTGTGATATCAAGAATCTTTTCAAAAACTAATCATCACCAATTAATGATTCTTGAATTGATTATAATTAATAGTGTTCAGACAAGAAATCTATGAATACTCAAGAAGAAGAAGAAGAAGAAGAAGAATGTAGTCCAAGAAAACATGTAGATCTCGCCAGCCGTGGACTATGTCTGATGCCGATCTCAGCTTCTTATCCGGTGGCTGCAGCCGCGGCTTCGGCTGCAGAGATGAACCTACATCTGATTTCTGGAATCTTCCATTCTGTGTAAACTTATAAATTAGATATATACATAAACCACAAAAAGTTATCTTCCACAAACAGGGGGTCTTGTAAAGTTTTATGTCCCGTTTTTATACAAGAAATGTAAATGTCCTGTAATACTTTCAAAATCATATATTGTTTGTTTGGGTTTACTTTTTTCTCTTTCTAAATGAACCTACTATTTTAAGCAAAATAAATTCGTAAATTATAAACGTAAACGTCAAACTAAACCGAAGGTTTGCATTTGCATTTTGCAAAATAAATCATAAAAACCTGAAAATGTTTAATTCCTTTGTAAACGAAATTTTCTCATCGAAATACAAATTAGATAATCGTAGAGCCGGCCTTCAAAATACTGTATGTGGATTCCAAAAAAAATAAAATTATTTAACCCATAAATTATAAAATTATTATCAAAAACTAGAAAAAAAGTTTTTATATATGGGGCATATCAAACTTTCCACCTACACAGTGCCGGTCCGAGTATTTGTGAGATCCTACACGAAATATAAAATGAGGCCCTGATATTTATTAACAATATTTAACATATGATTTTTTTTTATATATGTTAATTTTTATTATTGTTTTAAAAAAATATCCAAAAAAATGGGCCTCAATATCACTAATTTAACTAAGTAAAATTTCAAAATGGGCCTAAATAACCAAAAAATACTAAAAAAAAAAAAAACAAAAAAAAACAAAAAAAAAATTGTGGGACCCCAAGCAGTGGCTTGGGTAGCCTGTCCTGCGCGCCGGGCCTGCACCTACAAACCCTTTACCAACTTTTTTAAATAATATTAGACCCTGTTCTAAAAATCAGCCGCCTAGCCGCATAGGCGACCCGGAGGGGAACCGCGGCGATTTTGTCCAAATCGGTAAGAAAAATCGTTCGTCCAATTTTTTGTCCGCCTAGACCAATTAATTTATTTATTTATTTTTATTTTTTATCTAAAATTCAAAACGTGCTACTTATATTCGTAATTTGTATAAAAATTATAAATTTGAGCTTAAAATCTTGTTATAATGTGTTTAATGCAATTTTAAAAACAATATTATTTAAATTTCTTAATTATAATAAATTAATATGTTTTTAAAATATTAAATAGCCCTAAAACCAATTCCCGATTAATCTCTATTTAAACTATTTCACGCTTGTAGATTAAGAGATTTGGAGATAAGAGAATGTTTGGTTTTAACAAGAAATACTTAATACCAAAAATAGCTATTTTGTGTCCATTGGTACAATAACTCCCAAGTCATATACTAGAGAGAAATTCGCTTAACGTCAACCAAAAGCTTAACATATCGAATTATCTAGTTTAATTTTCTCAAAAGTTTACACACACACACACATATTACAATAAAGTTTATTGCTACTTAAGAAAATGAAAATAATAATAATAAGTAGAGTTTATTGCGACTTCTGAAAGAACGATAAAAATAACTTATGGCTTGTTTGTGACCAAAACAAATGAAAGAAAAAGTGTATTGAGTATTGACTATGGTATTGGATTATTTATTCACTTTTGTGGTTTGTGTAACCGTTTAATTTGAAGTGGTACATAAATATGGTGAAAGGAAAGAGGCAACACACAGATTCTGATCTCCGGTCTCCGAGATTCTTCTTCACATCTTGGATCGTACTTGCTGAACAAGCTCTCTTCTCAGGATTTTACCAGCAGCAGATTTTGGAACTGTGTTGATGAAGCTCACTCGTCGTAATCTTTTGTAAGGAGCGACCTGATGAAATCAAAAAGATGGTTTTGAGCCTAAGAAAACAAACACATCAATACGATTGATTCCAACCACTTGAGTCATAAGTTATTAACCTGTTTGGCAATGAACTTTTGAATATCTTGCTCTGTTATTGAGCTGTTTGGTGATCGAACAACAAATGCAATTGGAACTTCACCGGCTTCTTCGTCAGGGAATCTGCAATGTACACACATGTTATGTTAGTTTGGACATGAAAATCAACTTGGTATCTTTCTGATGTATCGAATTGTGAATATATGGCTCACGGGATAACGACAGCATCTAGTATTTCAGGATGCGATACAAGAAGACCTTCTAGCTCAGCTGGAGCAACCTAGATATATTCAAACCATTCATTATGATTTCACCTATTTTCAATTTTCGCGGTTTGGAAAGTATGGAATGAGAGAATTGGGAAGTGAAACCTGGAAGCCTTTGTATTTGATAAGTTCTTTGAGTCGATCAACAACATAAAGGTTACCATCTTCGTTGAAATATCCAAGATCTCCGGTATGTACCCAACCTTTTTTATCGATTGTTTCTTTAGTAGCCTGAGGGTTATTGAGATACCCTGAAAGAGAATCAATTTACATGATTATCAAATGCATAGTTATGAAAGGCTATAAATATATCAAACCTTTCATCATGTTTGGTCCTCGAACCCAGATCTCGCCTTGTTGATTTGGAGGCTGAGAGTTTCCAGTTTCTACACTAACTATCTGAGCTTCAACTCCTGGAGCAAGCATTCCAGCTGAACCAGAGTTCCGTTTCCCGAGTCTCGGGTCTTCCACAGAGACAATTCCACACGTTTCAGTCATTCCATAGCCCTGAACAAATCACAAAACACCTCTTTTTGCATCATTCATGACAACGGATTCAAAATTTGCTACGAACAAAACAGAACAGAAAAATTGCGTGAATCATATACATTTTGGCCTGTTCTTTACGAGCAAACATCGAGGAATCAGCTAACATCTACATTTATCAGAAACTCAAACCTAAGGATAATAACTTCCAAAGGACCAAAAACAGGATCTGAAACCAACTTTTCTTTTACCTGCATAAGCAAAACATTAGGAATGTTTCTTCCACATTCCTCCATCAAATCTTTCCCAAGAGGAGCAGCTCCTGATCCAATGTACTTAAGTGAAGAAAGATCAAACTTTTTCACAATACTCTGCTTGGAAAGAGCAAGGAACACAGGAGGAACAACCCAAAGATGAGTGACTCTATACTTCTCAATGTTCTTAAGAACCAACTCGAGCTCAAATTTCGCCATAGAGACCAAAGCATTCCCTCTCTGAAGCTGAGAATAAGTAATCACAGTCAAACCAAAAACATGAAACATTGGTAGAAAACACAAGAACACGCCATGATACTCTCCCATAAGATCTTGATCCATCGTCACCATCAACGATGCTGCAATGAAATTCCCATGAGTCAATTCAACACCTTTGCTTGTTCCTGTAGTTCCTGATGAATACAACAATGCAGCAGTATCTGATTGCTTAATCTCAACGAAAGGGTAATCAGAAACTGGCTCTGAGAGTTCCATAACGTCATTGAAACTAAGAATCTTCGAATTCGATCCCGGAGGAATCTGTACGGAATCTTTAGATCCAAGTAGAACAACGGGAAGATTAAAACCCTTGATTTTATCAAACAGTTGATTAACAGAGATGATAATCTTCGGATTCGAATCCTTGATCTGTTTCGAAACCTCATTCACAGTGTAAAGAGGATTCGCGGTGGTGAAAACGCCGCCGATTGCGGTTACGGCGAGGAAGCAGAGAGGGAATTGGTAAGAATTCGGAGCGAAGATCAACACGACGTCGTTTTTACGAACACCTAGACGTTGAAACCCGTGAGCGAGTCTAGCGACGGCGGATTTGAGCTGAGAGAAGGATAAGGAGTCGCCGGAATCGGAATCGGCGATAGCAAGCTTTGATGGGTAAGATGAGGAATTACGGAAGAGGAAAGAGACTAACGATGTGTTTGGATCTTTGGGAAGAACTAGCGTCGGACGTAGTGATCGGTAAATTCCGTCTCTGCCATAGCCGGATTTTTCCATTTCTTCCGATCTCGGAGGACAGAGGATAAGGTGAGAAGTATGTGTAAGAGGAAGAGGAAGACGACGACTATTTCTGGTTTCGGATTACTTCACGTAAAACGTTACATTTCTCCAAATGTAATTTTAATTTTAATTAGTATTTTAATTTTTTCTTAACAATTAGTATTAATCATTGCGATGTCAGAGAAAATACTAAATATTAAAAATTCATAATGACGTAATTTTTAGCAGAGAAAGTAAAGAATTATTATACAAAAAAATGCTTGGAAGTCCCCTTGATCCATTGGTTGACTAAGGGTTAATTAATGTTTCTACACCAAGAGGTCTGGGGTTCGAGTTCCAGGTAATGCTATTTATTAATAAATTTGCAGATTAATGGAGGCAAATGTGCAAGAGATCTTCAGCGATGTACAATTATAGCCGTTCGCTAAGATTCTACACAGAGAGAGAAGTGTCGTCAGGTCGTGGATCATTGAAGATATCCGTCAAGAGCATGAAGAAGGAAGTGTCGTCCGTCGTAGATCTAATGAGGGTCGGAAAGAATTGTCAGTTGTAGAATCGTCTATGTAACAGTTCTCGTAGTTTGCAATAAATAATAAATTCAGACGTTAAAAAAAAAAATACAAAAAAAAATACAAAAAAAAAACTTTTTTAAGTTACGAATAAAGTACTAATAGTATGGTAGCTAAAAATAGAATTTGTGATTTTGGTCGAATAGCAGATAACATATTTAAAAAGAAAAGGTAGCAACAAAAAAGGAAAAAAAGGGAGGATGGTTATAGTTCAAATACTATGGCATACTTTTGAGAATGATGGAATAGAAGAAGTGATTTTGAGAATGATTCTAAGATTATCATTCAAGCAGTGAAGTATTCTTCCATTATTATGCTCTGTTAGATTGTAGTATCTTTCTTTGGTTGGTGGTCCAATTGTGGAAAGGGAAAAATCTCTATGATAATAATGTTCACATAAATGAAGTATGTTTGAGTAAAACAGAATCGGATAGTTTTACTTCTTTTCACGATTTTTGACAATTTTACTCCTCTTGACATGAGTTGTCGTGAGAAAGTTTGCACCATGGAGAGGCGGTTTCGTTTCTGGATGCACGTTTTCAAAATTGGTCGAAACATAGACAATTCCACCATTAAAAACTGTTGGAGATTTAGCAAATATGTCAAAGAAACATGCCTTCACGCCAACCACAATTCATACTTTGTTAAAGAGTTGATTGATTCTTCCGCTACCATCCACAAACGGTACAAGGCTACAAGCAGCCGATCCACAAAAACAGTCGATCGAGCCATTAATATCATT